TAGATCTGGAAGATCTTCACAAAAACTGGGCTCCTCACGGGCAGAGCTTCGGCTCGGGAATTTCACTTCTCGGGATCTTCGGGGCCTCGGCACTTGATTCGGGGCTCGGGAATGATATCGGGGCTTCAGGATAATTCTTGCACGAAAAATGATGCAAAAACGCAAGAGAAAGAAGAGAAATGAGCAAATGAATCGGCTGCACTCGACTCCCTTTTATAGGGTCTGGATTCACGACTTACGTTGGGCGTAATCTTAGGTTACGCTGGGCGTAACCTGGATAAGCCCGGTGACTGCCCCCTTGGATAATATCGAAAATTTATATTTAAATTTAATATTGGAAATATTTAATAAATTTCAAAAATTCATATCTTCTTCATACGAACTCTGTTTTTGATGTTGTTTATATCCGTGCGTAGGTGAGACTACACTCTACAACTTTCGTTTAAACTCCGTCGGCTAATTTTGAATTTATTTTTATTATTTATTTTTAGTAGGCCGGGACAGGAAAACTCCGTTATAAATTCATAACTTCTTCATAGGACGTCCGTTTTCGCCTATCTTTTTATCGTTTCATTACAATTAACGAGATCTTCGATTCTCGTTTAGATTGTTTCGGCTAAAAACCGCTCGGTCTTAAATCGAGTATTCAGGCTGCATACTGCTAAGTTGAAACTTAGAAAAATCATAACTTCCTCATACGAAGTCAGATTTGGACGTTCTTTTTATGCACGCTCAGGGTTTAACGTATTCTATGAATTTCATTTAGATTGATAAGGCTAAATATCGCTCTAACATAAATTCACTTTTTACATCGCGCTGTGTTGTGCCGGTTTTGTCGCGAAACTTCGACAGGTCATAACTTCTTCGTTAAAACTCGGATTTCGGCGTCCTTTATATGTACGGAATCCTTGTAACATATACTAGAACTTAGTTAAGATTATTCATTATAAATAATCTTTTATCAAAAAGTCATTTTTGACGCTTATCGTCTCTAAATTGACTAGCCCTGATGTATGGGTGTTACACAATATTTTAATAAAAATTATTGAAACTTCCAAGGGTTTTGCTATAAATAAAAGTGTTAAGAAATTTTTTATATTTAAGGATGGCGGCTCAAGTATCGTATGTGTTTCATTGTGAGAGGAAATTACATCCAGAAAAATTCAAAAATCAGTTGACTAATCAGGTATGAATGTATGATGATGAATAAAGGCAATATGTTTCCAAATGAGGGAAAAGGGTAAAATAGTGAAAACACAATGTACTTGTACCATTTTATATTTCTAAGGCCTTTTAACTATTATTTTTATTATGATAATAGTGGAGTGACCATTTGCTTTGTAGATGGATCAAGCCCTAATGATGACAACTGTCTCCCCATTCTTTCAAATGTAAATCTCTTATCTTAATCAAATTTCCTTGGAATAATCGATCTTCTTTCAGTTGTGCTTTTCTTGATCCTGTGTTCATGAATCAATATACTTTTCTTGTTCCTAATTTCATTAAGCTCTTTTTGTTTACGTGCCCTCAGAATTGCTGCTCATGAAGTTGAAGAAATTGGTAAAGTCTATATTTGTTTATTCATTACATAGGGATGGAGCTTATAACATTGTAAAATGGACCGGTTATTCTAGATTGTGTGAAGATGCTACCATCCTCAGGAATAATATATTCAGATGGATGAAGACCATAAAGGAAACTAGATGATTATGTTCAGTTATTTTCATAGATGTTATTATAACAACCTTATTTTAAAAGGTATGAGACTATTTTAAGAAACAAACTATTTTTAGTGTCTTTAAGATGTCAACAAACCAACTTAAAACCATTTTATTGCAAAAAATGGAAACAAACCAGTTTATTTATTTAATTTTTTTATTTTCTTTTTAGTTAGCATACCAGGTTTGTAGCGTGTCATTTACATGTATGTTTGTTTGGTTTTGCAAGGACAATTAGATGGAGTTTGACTGCACATGCTGCTAGGGAAGTGGTTGTAGTGGGACAACAAATAGAACAAATGCAGTTAGGGTTTTTATTTTTTAAATGTGACAACTATATCTTTGATTTTGTTTTTCATCTTATGTTTTATGATTGTTTTTATTTATTATGATTCAAGTTTGTAAATTTGCATGTTTTGATTTTGATTAATGTTGTAAGGTTCTCTAGGGAAACGGATTGGAGTGGCCAATCCTGCAATGGCTGTATGCACCATAGGAGTGGTATACAGTTTCACTCACCAAATTTGCTAGTGGATTAGGGTAAGTTTGCTTATCTTTGTTTGCATGAATCATACTTTCCATACAAACCCTAAGTTCTTATATGTAGCTTGTATATGCATTAAAAAGTTATAAAAAAATCCCAATAAACCTTGTGTTAAAAGAAGATTTATCTTATCCTTAGTTTTAGTTTGGTATTTTATTGGTGGATGTAGTATTCCTTATAATTATCACTTTACCTTTGTCTTTGTGTCGATGTTGTTGAACATACAAAAGGTTGGTTTTTGAAGAATGATAGGGGATTAAAATAGTGGAAGAAGTTGAATCAACACTATGGTAGTTAATAAAAAAGGTGTTATTACATTGTGCACAAGTAACAAAGATCTAGATTTCGAAAATAGTTTGTGTTTTATGTTTTTTGTTCTTTGGATTAAGAAGCTTTGTTTTTCTAGTTTGATCAATGTTGATAAAATAACAATTAAATGTGATTCATTTTTAATATTAGTACATTTATTATATGAAATGGATTGTTTTGTTATATAAGTATTTTATTTTGTATTATGAGACTTTAAATGTGTTATTTAATTTGAAAATTCGTAAATCTTTCATATATATATATATATATATATATATATATATATATATATATATATATATATATATATATATATATATATATATATATATATTAAAACGTTTAAAATTATGATACTAAAAAATGTTTGTCATCTTTCATTATGATAGGGGCTTTAATGATACGCAATGCGAGTCGTAAACGCGCGTCATAAAGTGACGACACGCAAATGCTTGTCATCTTCTTTATGATAGGGTCTTCCTTGACACGTATTGTGTGTCTTAAAAGCACGCCGTCAATGCGTTTCATAAGGTTACGACACACAAATGCGTGTCGTCTTCCTTTTTGACAGGGCCTTCCTTAACACGCATTTGCGTGTCATCTGTGGCTTTTATGACATGCAATGTGTGTCATTAAAGGGTGTTTTTGTAATAGTGGATGTCCACCGAAGCGTTGTGGATTTTTGGGATTAACAATCATAGCTCGGTTATAGGGACTTATCATAACTTTGTTAAACTAAAACTAAACTATCATATACTCCTAATACATTACATCGTGATAGTATACTCAAACTCAAGGAAACGAGTTCAGATTACGCTCGTTAAATTTAATCTACACTATTCATATGGAACGCCTTAAGATGTAGTGCCTATAATATGATAAAAGAAATAGTAGTGGAATATTATCATAATACTAACCATGAATTAAAGTGACAAGTAAAAATATACATCCTCTATCCAAATCGAGATTCAAATTTAGTTATTAAACTATCTGAATCCTATTACTAAAACAAAAGGAATTACGCTAACACACTTACTTAGGATGAGAATACAACGAGTGCTAACTCAAGAACTTTGACAAAGTATTTTTTGAATTAGGTGTCTAAGATAATACTAAATGAGTATAATCTTGAATTATTAGCAAAGTCCTTTTGGGTTTCCATCAAACTTAGTAATTGAATATGATGAATTTTAGAGAGAGACTGACTTATTGATTTATTAAATGATTAAAAAATAGCAGTAAATGAATTTATTAATATGTTATTAAAATAATATATTAGTTTGAAATTGTATTATTAAATTAATAATTCATCAGAAATTAGTTGTAATTAATTTTGGGATTAATTGGATTAATTAAAAGTGGAGGGGTCTAATTGTAATCGTTTAATAGTTGAGAAAGAGGTTCCAGAACCTTCCCTTATGGAGGTGGCGGTTTCTTAGAGAGTAATCTAGGGTTTCTAGATTATCTTTTATGGATAATTAGGCCATAGTTAATTACCAAAATTTAGATATTAATATAAAATTCAAATTAGGGGTTATCTAGTGTTTCCTAACTTAACTATATAAAGACCACAAGGGCTTTAAATTTTGGACAGTCCATTCTCATAAGCCAAGACTAAAAATTTGATATCCTCGCTCTTTTCTCTCTCTCTCTAAGCCTCCTTGTTGCTAGGTTTAGATGTGAACTATCTGAGGCACAAAATTTTTGGTGCTAGCTTCTAAGTGACTACAAGAAGGATTGTTTGATTGTTACTACAACAATCAAGAGACGTGTTTTCTTCTATGATTTTCGAAATTACCTACTATTATAGGGTTCTTTTTGTTTAATTATATGTTATTCAGGTAGAGTTATGGATAGATCTAATAGGTTGCATGCACTACTAGCAAAACAGCCTTTTACGACGCTCATTGCACGTCGTAAAATGCTCAGACGACGCGCAAATGCGCGTCAAGGAAGGCCCTGTCATAAAGAGAGACGACGCGCATTTATGACGCGCATTTACGACGCGCAATGCGTATCAAGGAAGGCCCTGTCATAAAGGAAGACAACACGCATTTCCATGTCGTAACCTTACGACACCCGTGTTTATGACACGCATAGCGTATCAAGGAAGCCCCTGTCAAGAAAGGTCATGTCATAAATGAAGATGACACACATTTTTGCGTATCGCAATTTTATATGTTTTAAAAAAATATTATTTCTAGAATTACTAATTTTCGAATTAAATTTTCCTTTAATGTCTCTTAATAAATAAAATATCATATACAAAAATACAAATTCATTGCACAAAATATAATGTCATACAAATAATCGTTCCATGGAAAGATGAAACAAATCAATAAAAGTTGTAACGGAACTTTACAAACTAATTATATACAAGAAATATGAAAAACTTGAAATCTCTAAGATTAATAATTCTAGCAGAAGCTTCACGTGACGTACATACAAGTGGACCAGTAAGCAAGGATGTTCCCGAATCCACAATAGCAACAGAAGAGCACGTACACGATATCTTTTGCAAGAAGGTGCCGGTCCAAAACTACTATTGAAGGTTGCCATGATAGCTGTTAAGATTTAAGCATAACAAGAAACCAATCCGTGACTGTAATAAGCTAGAAAACAAGCAACTAATATACAAAATAAGCAACTAATTAAGTCAAACTATGACTATGTATTGTTCATACAAGAAAAAGAAGGAAAAAAATGTTGATTTATTGTTGTTCATACAACACTCTCCAGACAACACTTAATTGAAGAAAAGAATAAGGATAAACTTACAAAGAAAAAGAATTCAGGAAGAAGACAAGTTTGAAAGCATACAGAATAACGTTTAGCCAAGCAAGTGTGATCTACCTGTAAACTTGAAAACACAAAATTCTGAGTAAATGACCTAAATACCCTTAGAATCGTTAATCATAATAACAAGTAACAGACCTTGTAGGAGCCAATGCAGAGGTCTGGCCAGATGGCATAGCATGATAAGCACCATCCATTGTGAAATAAGGTAAAGCAACCAAAAGCCCTAACAACACCAGCTAAAATAGGTAGCCTACAACAAAATTGCACAATTTTAACCATTTACTCACCTAACTATTATTATCTTAAATATTTATTTACTTATATATATCTAAAGTACCATGTCATTTCTAAATTCCCCATTCCATTGGGCTGAGTAACATAGCTAGGGAACGCCATGCCAACAGCAGGAAGTCCAAGCCCACCAGGATGCTGCCTCGCAAATTGCACAACTGCAAATTTAATAACAGATTAGACACCATAAAACTTTAACATTTTTTAATGACCAAATAGCCCTTGGGTTTACCTGGAAAAAATGTTGGAGCACCAGGGAAATTCTGATCACATGGATCCCAATGACCACCATCTTATCATTAAACCAAGCTAAGAGAAAGCTATCAACCCTTACCATATATATATATATATATATATATATATATATATATATATATATATATATTAAAAATTAATTGAAATTAAAACTTCTAGTGTTTCTGTTGCAACCTGTATTAAAATAGCATGAATGGTTGTACCTCTCCATCAGGTGAAGCTCAAAATAGAAATTGCAGTATTCCCATGCATATAATATTAGCCAACAACTATAACACATGCAAATAGTATTACAAATTACAACATTACCCCTTTCAAAAGAGAACGTGCTTCACTTGACAAGAATCCCGGAAGCTTTATCTTGTCCTTCACTATTTTCTCCTAAATCTTCTGTCTGTTTCCACCTCTAAACGAAGTCTGGAAAGACACAATGTCGAATAAAATTACATTATTACCCTCGCTCTAAAAGTAAGGGGAATTTAATAGTAATTTATTAAAATTAATTAAGGGTGACAGCACACCAACCTTTCCGGTAAGCATTTCATACATTAAAATTCCAACACTCCACCAATCAGCGGCCTTATCATGGCCCCTCCCTTGTACAACTACCAACCTGGATGGTTAATACAAGTGCAGGGTCAACAGCCATTGCTTCATGGTCAATGTTTTTTAATGTCTCTCCCTAATTCTTCTTTTGAAGGAACAAAAACATATGCTACATTCTGCAATTATATGTTTATAATTTATATATAAAAAAAATAACATCAAACTCATTGATTTATGATTTATATATCAACTTAGCCCCTTAATGGCTACCTACTTGACTTGTACTCTTCCTTAGTATCTTTTTAGTACGTTATTGGTTTTTATAACTTTATTAGCATTGTTAAGTGTAAAAATACAAATACAAAAATATTAGAAACATACCTTATATTTAGTAAGGAATGGAATCTGGGAAATCATTTCAAAATCTTCAATGTCTACAGCCATCACTACAAATTCAGAAAACCCCTATTCAGGTGCCTTTTAACTGTTTAAAAAAAAAGAAAAAAAATTGAAGTTAGAACCAACATTAAGAACAAAATATCAAAAATAAATATCAAAACAAGTCAGAATAATATTCACGAAGTTGATAAACTTTGGTTAATAAAAAGAACAAGAAACATATCCAATTTAGTTAGCTTTAGCCAAGAAAAAAAATACTCATAAATTTATAATCTTTAGCATATAATATTTGTCCAGTCTTGTGTTTTGTAACAACTAACAAATGCAAAGTAAGAGAGTTTTAGTTACCTGATTGATATTTCTATCTGAAGCAAGCTTAATCATGATCTCTAACTTCTCCAACTTCACATTTATTGGATCGTTTTACTTGCAGAAGAATACCTAGAAAGTAGGTGTAGTATTTTTTTCATTCAACCCTTCAGATTATATAAACAAGGGTATGAAAAGAAGCAAATACTAAAGCATGATACCTTATTTTCATGAGCAAGAATTGTAGGACACCTCTGTACAACAAGGTTGATGTTCCTTAGTGAAACATATTGGATCTCCTTCTGCAAAAAGTATGTCACAAGAGGATGAGCCATTTTATTGCAGGGGTTCTGAATCACATCAGGAATGCTGATGAGATCCATTTGTTGAAGGATCATCTTTTAACCTAATCATGTTTAAAAGTAGAGAAATCAGAACATGGATATATGACAAATACAAAAGGAAAAGAATAAATTACAATATTGTCCCTATGCTTCATGAAAAGTAATTTATTTTGAAAAAATAAGTAATCAAATCCACCTTAACAGCTGAAAGAACTACAACACAATTTGCATGTTGCAGTCTTAGAGTGACTCTCTCTACTATATTTTCAACTTCACGAGCATCAGCTGCCTTGTATTTAGAAAGAACATCTAATATGAAGACTTGAACCCATCTATAAATATAACAACATTTTAGAACAAAAAACTGTAACATATAGCATATTAGGATAACATATATATTTCATAGAAGATTGTACTAAAGATAAGTACAATATTCAAGAATCACATGTGATGATTAATAAAAACTCACAAAGCATATTAAGATGATTAAACATTACCGGAAATAACAATAGAGAAGTCCTAATCATAAAATAAGAATACACAATACATAATAACACTATGCATTATGCAAACTACTCTTAAAATAAAATATCAACATACCTTTTGAGATAACCACCAGAGAGCTTCCATTGTTAGCACCATCAATGGAGTTGATTTAATAGTTCTTCTGCCATTGTTCCATTATCCATTCTTGTCATCAAATTTTCCAGAACTTTTCCGTTTTTTCATCACAAAATGCAACTGGTGGTAAGATATTTATCTTCATTTTTATCTCAAAATTCGGATCCAAACCCTTATCTTGTAACAAATTAGTCAACTCAATATCCCATTCTCTTTCCCTTTTCTTCAACAAAGACGTGATTCTTGGGTCATTAAACTTTTCTTGAAACATCAAAGCTAAGTTCAAGTCAAGTGTTTGCTGATTTGAAGTTGACTCATCACTATTTTGGTCAAAGTTTCTTTCAGCTTCTTGGAAAATTGATCTGAAATAACTACTATATAGAACTACACTAGGTCTTCCACTATTTAAGCTTTTTTTTACTGTTGATTCCTTCTGCATGATTCCAATTGTTACCTAAATGACCAGTTTATGCATTACTACTACGTTTCACAATTGAACCACAACCTTCTGATGAACTTGAAGAATTGTGGCGAATCACAGTGATTTGTAAGGCATCTCTTCTTGCTGCTAAAGGATTTGTAACTGAGAGGTGGCAAGTCACGGCTACGCCAAGTAAGGCAAACCCTACAACCGCGTAACTTATACAGTGTCCAAGATACCTATGCAGATAAAGAATACTCAAAAGTTCAAGAAACAAAGGTAAAAGGTGTGTGTATGTATAAAGATTAGAGGAATAGAAAATTAGAAAAATACCAATAGTGAACTCCAAAGCATATCAGGAATACGCGAGAAGCACACGCAAGTTGGACGATCTCATGAGAAAATCTTACATGCATCTGGTAGGGATCGATGTCGGATTTGGTTATTTCTCCGCTTCTTTTTCCCGATTCTCGATACATTGTTCTTTTCTTTTCTCCCTTTTTCCCTCTTAAAGTTGCTTAAAATTTTAGGGCTTCTTCACTCGGAGTTGCTAAAAGTTTGTTAATCACTCACAGAAATACACCCTTATTTCTCCATTACCGAACAATCACCAGCCATCATCTCCTCACAACCCCTTGACAACCTTCGAACGCCACCTCACACCCTCACCCTCAAATAAAGAAAAAAGAAATAATAAGAAGGGAGAAGAAGGGTTGTGACCAAGCCATAGGAAGAAAAGAGGAAGAATAGGCACATCTTTTCTTTCTTCTTTCTTCTTTTCGCTCTCAAACTCTGGCTGTAAACAGGAAAGCGCAAGAGATATTGAGAGAATAGACAAAAGAGAGATTGAGATATTGATTCAGGTACAGTTGAGAGGTAAGAACATATAATCATTTGAAGAAGAAGGAATTTGGATGGGTGAGGGTGGGGACGAGGAAAACTTGTTTCCTGTTAGACCCAACAAACAAAATCCCTAGTTCTTCAAAGTTTGGGATGGCGTGTCTTTAACGTCTCATAGGGAGAAAATGGTGGATAAAAGAGGATAGTCAACATCGTTGACCACTGTATGGCTGCGAAGCTCCAAAAATACGAAAGGGAGGAAGAGTTACAGCCGCATAATGTGGTATAGGGTTTACAGAGAAAATGAGAAGCATAGAGTGAAGGTTATTGGCTAGTGGAGAGGAATAATTTGTTATTCCTTCCCAAATAGCAACAACTTGATCAGAGAACGAAACTTGCAAATAAGGTCTAGGGTATACATGGAAACCCTAAATGAAACGCGGGGTTTTCAATTTTTAGGATTCCATTTTCCCCCCTGCTATTAAAAAATGGAACGCGCGTTCAATTAAAATTTATAAAGCGACGCCTTTAGATGACACACATGTGCCCTCCGTGTTTTTTTGCTTTTTTGTTTAGACACTAATTTAAGGCCACGCAATAATGCGTAACCTAAATCGTTAATTTTTTTTGAAAAGATGACACTTTTTTAATGTTACTCTCTTTTGCGTAACATAAATCAATGAGTGTCATGGTTTGCGCATCGTAAAAGGGTCTTTTTCTTGTAGTGATGTACCCTTAAGCGTATAAGTATATATCCACATTATTACATGTAAAACCCATCAGTGGTATCAGAGCATATAATTATCTAACAATTGAATGTACATTGATTGAACTTGAAAAAAATCTAAATTGGCGGAAGACTTAATTGACATTCTATTGTGGCACCATGTCGTGGTGTTCTTCTACCACGACGTGTTGGTCTCCAAATCCACGTCTTTTTCTGTTCTACCACGATGTGGCAATTGTCTGCCATGATTGGATAGTTCCTCTAATCAGCGAACATTGTATTTACTTAGTTCGTAAATTGATTAGGATAATTACTTTAGATAATGTTTTTTAATTGTACAAAACTGAATAATTATCTTTTTAATCAAATATCCTTATCTTTAATTTGTGAATGAGTCTGATGTTTTAATTACATTTAATTATCTGATTAATTAAAAGATAAAGATTAAAAACATAATTGGTTTATTTCAAATTAAAATAATTCCTTAATTTAAAAAAAAAAATTAAACCTAGTATTTTGAAATTGTTTTAAAATACACCTTATATATACATACATACACACACACACACACACACACATATATATATATATATATATATACATATATATATATATATATACATATATATATATATATATATATATATATAATATTAAAAGTTAATTATATATGTATAAGATTAAGTAATTCTGATCGCTAGTACTCACCAATAGATCTGAACTATAAGGGGGATATAAGGAAACTTTCTATAAAATGGCGGTTGAATGGGTGTCCACTCACCTACCACTTTTTTGTTTTGTAGACGGCCGTTAGCATAACAGATTCGATAGTACAATAACTTTATTAGTAAGTATAAAGATATAAAATAACTAAACTCCTTTATAAAATCTCACTCTTAGTTACTTTTGGAAAAATGTGAAAAGTATACTAATCCATAAATTTGCACATTATACTTTATAGTAGTTAGTGGACCGCGTGTGGTTAACCGATACACTAATAGTGACTATAAAGAGTAATAATGGGCATCTAGAGGATTATCATTGATTAATGGAGCATGTGTTGTTAATCGACACATTAATATGAGATGATATATGACATTGAGAGTGTCAGTCATATTTGTATGGTTATTCACATCTTGTTTGTAATCCTCGGTATCCTGGTCATAAATAGTAGAGCATAATCTGAGACTAAACATGCCATTGATAGATTCAAAGAATCTCAAAAGATCTATGAATTTCATAGTTTGAAATTAGTAAATTGTTTTTACCTACCTTTATAAATTCCTAATAAGATTAAGACATCCCTCTTCTTAGTTGTGAATTTTTACATCGGATCCTACCCTTGATTATTTATTAAGGGTTAAACTATTAAGGATTGTTGTCATCTAACTAAAACTATTTTCTTTTTCTATATCAATTTCTACTCCTGGTGATGTTTCTGCTTCTTCGTCATCTACTCAACACCCAAGTTTTTCCCTACTCTCTATCATATCCATGATGAACTTTGATGGCACCAACTACGATGATTGGATGCATAACATCAATATGTATCTTTGATTCAAGGGCAAAGAATATGTCCTTTAAGAAAAACTCGTTGTAATCGGTGAAGCCAAAGCTACTCCATAACAACTAGCCTCCTATAAGAAACACTACGAAGATGCAAGAAAATTTTCTTGAATCATGGTCACTACAATGGTTCCTGAGTTGCAAAGGTTCTATGCCGAGCACATTCCATATGAGATGAACTAGGACCTTGTGGAAAAGTGCCACAAAGGAGCTCGTCAAGAGAAATATGAAGTAGTCAAGTCCCTCATGGATTGCAGGCTGAAAGTGGGAGAGTCTGTGTGCCACCAAGTGTAGAGAATGTAAAGATATATGGAAACACTTGTTAGGTTCAATGTGCATTTTGATGAGGAATTGACCATTGACAAGGTCTTTAACTTCTTGCCAAGTTGTTATTATCAGTTCATATTGGCTTATCGTTTGAATAACACAGAAACCACATTAACCCAACTCCAAAACATACTGCAGACTGTTGATTTAGGAATGAAGGGAAAGAATCCAACCCCTATTACTAATGCTCCTATTCTTGGCATTGGTAAAGGCAAAGGGAAGAAGAGGAAGGCTGCTCCCAAAGCTAATCAGAATAACAAGGCCCAGGCTGGGTCATCTAGCAATGGCCTAAATACATGGCCGATATCATACATTCTAGTTGCTAGTGACCCCAAAGAGGCCACTTGTTACTATGGCAATGTCAAGGGCCATTAGAAGAGGAGCTACCCCATGTACATGCAAGACATCAAAATATGGGAAGGTAAAGCTATCATCAACAAGTATATACACTATTCATACTAATAACTTACAATTAATACTTTCTTGGATCCTTGATACGTGATGTGGTTTTCACATTTTTTATGAAGTGCATAAGTTAAAAGAAATTGAAGAGGTGGAGCATAGGAGGATGAATCTAATCATGAGAAATATGCTTAGTAGTGATGCTAGTTTAGATTTGATAGGTTATTACTATTCGTCAGAAATGACACAAAACATTATTTCATTTCATGCATTATTCAGACAAGGTTTTTTTTATTCGTTTAATGATTTGAATGGTTCAATTCTAGTTTATAAAAATTGTGTTTTTATATTTGAAGCTTTAACTTGTAATGGTGTGTACTAAACTATGACATGTGTTGATAGCTTATACAATAGTGTATTTCACATTGATACATCTAATAGTTTGGACAAGGCATGCTTGTGGCATTGTCGGCTTGGGCATATTAACAAGAAACGCATCACCCAAATCCAAAAGGATGGAGTCTTAGAATCATTTCACCTAAGTCCAAATAATGAATGCGAATCTTGTCTTTTGGGGAAGATAACAAAATCACCTTTCACTGGATCTTGTGAAAAGGTGAAAGTTATTTGGACCTCATACACACAGATGTGTGTGGACCCTTCAGATCCACCATAAAGGTTTCTAATTTATTTTATGTAACATTTACGGATGATTATAACAGGTATGGTTATATATACTCAATCAAACATAAAACAGAAACCTTTAAAAAGTTCAAAGAGTTTAAACATGATGTCGAGAATCAATTAGGCATGAAGATAAAGATGCTCTGATATAATAGAGGAGGAGAATATTTTAGTACCGAGCTCCACAACTACCTCAAGGAGTGCGGAATAGTTTCACAATTGTCTTCTCCTATGAAACCATAACTTAATGTGTGGCTAAGAGGTGCAATCAGACCTTGTTGGACATGCTATCTTCATTCCATGATGAGTCGAGCCACTCTTCCCATTTCCTTCTATGGGTATATCTTTAAGATAGTCTCCCATATCCTCTATCTTGTCCCAACTAAAATGGTTGGCAGAGCACCTCACAAGATTTGGACTTGAAAACTTCCCTTGTAGTACATATAAAAGTTTGGGGTTGTGAGGCTTTTTTTAGACGATAGAATAATGACAAGCTAGACTCTAGAAGTGAGAAATGTATTTTCATTGGCAACCCACAAAAGTCTTTAGGATACTTGTTCTACAAACCTATTGAAAACGTGGTCTTTGTAGCACGAAGAATAGTCTTTTGCGAGAGAGAGTTGATATGCAAAGAGGATAGTGGGAATGAGAGGACCTTAGATCAATCGATTTATCAAACAATGACTAATAATAAGAAAAGAACAACGAGGTATCACAAAGAGCTTTCACTAAGAATGATAATCTCACAAAGAGATTATTGTTTGCACAAAGCGGCTATTAGGGTTTGTGAAAGATAACCTCTTCACAAACCCATACAAAAGACTATATAGAACTATTATAGATAATCCCTACAAATCAGGGATGTTCCAGCTAACTAATATATGATAACTATGGAAACAAGATAAAAAATAAATCTGTTACAAATAAGAAAATATATATATACTAAACAATTTGTATGCTGACACTGATGTTGATGCTGACGCTGATGCTGATGGATCAGCTTCAAACATCATCATATTATAAGGTTCGACCTTACAATCTCCCCCAATATGATGATGTTCAAAACAACAGCTATACGTGAACACCTCTGGACAAAAATTCTTCATACTCAGCTTCAGCTTCTATTTTCACAAGCCAGTAAGGACTATCCAGCAACTCCTGTCTTCTATTCAGCAACTCCATAGCAATCAGTATGTTAAACTCTCCAGATAGATCTTGATGACTCATGCACATTTGTCTTAAGCCAACAAGATGTGCTGTTGGAGCTCTTGGAATTTCTGTGGTGCGCTGAAAGCACATTCTTCTATTTTTATCGAGATAAAACATTCCATGTTCAGGAACAGAGATGAACTTATGTTGAATCGGCTCAACACCGATAGGAAGAGAGTTATTTATTCCTTCAGCACCAAAATTTAAAACCAACACATCATCATTATCAACTTGAAATCTGGTCCTTATGATTCTTGGAACTGAGGAACTTTGGTCTTGCTGCTGAGAACGCTGCATAGGAACAAGATCCAGATGCTGAACTTTCTTGATCAGTAGATGGAGAGCACATGTCAGTTCTGAAGAGAGAGCCAAAGTTTGGTTGGATGCTAGTTCGAGCAACTCCATCCATTCAGAATATGCGTATCTGATCAGCTCATCCCTCTTGACAACTTCAGTGTATAGATGTTGAGGACCTTGACGAGTGATCAACAAAGTAAGAATTTTCTTGTTACGAGGTTTAGAGGCTTTAACCTTGATGATCTTATAACTGCTCACTCATCGTTTAAGAACATCTTGAAACCTATTGCGATCAATCCTGTCGAGAACATTTTCAGTCCTTGACATGCTGCCACTAGGAGGAGGCTGGGAAGATTTGGATTTGGACTGATATTCTAAGAACTTTTGCATTTGAGCTTCAAAGGATCCTTTGGCCTAAAGTTTATGCTGAATGAGAGATTCATCAGCTTGAGCAATATTCTTTAGAAGCTGAGCTTGATTGGTTTTATCAAGAATTTGCTTAACTTGATCAGGAGACATGTTCCATTCAGCTGCCAAGTTGGATATGCTAACGATGGACTTAGGTTTCTTGTTGGGCGGAGAAGTATCAGTGTGTGAAGAAGCCAATTCAGTATCTGCTGCCTTGCGCTTGCGAGATAGAGGTTGAGTATCCTCACTAGCTACATCTGAGTCTTCTCCTTGGATTGGTATAATGGGATCAATGAATTTCATATCCAGCATTTGACATTCATCATCATGTTCATCTTCATCATCATCTAAGGCTTCTCCTTGAACTGGAATAGTGGGATCAATGAAGTTCATGTCTAGCATCTGACACTCATCATCATGCTCACTATCTTCAGCAAGTTGTTCAGTATCTGCTGGTCTATCAGACTCGTCAGCAGCTGGTCTATCAGACTCATGCACTAGCTATGGTGGCTCAGTCTGGTTTAAAATGTTGTCAGCAGATCCGGGATCAACAGATTCAGTTTCGCCCTCGTTTTGATCATCATCAGTTTCTCCCCCTTTTTTATCATCATCATGTTGTGGGCCAGGGGAAGGAGTTGGCAAGATAAATCCCTTCAGCTGATGGACATCGGCCTCAATTCATAGAAGACGCTAACTCATGTCCCGAGTCAATGTCATAAGCTCATTAAATGCTGAGGCCAGAATATGAAGGAATTGAGTACCTGGAACTTCTTGAGAGCGATGTTGCTCCCCCTGCGATGGGTGCTCCCCTTGGGATGGTTGCTCCCCCTGAATTAGTGGCTCCCCTTGAGCTGAGTGAACTCTCTCACTGACAGAGAGAGTATGATAAGAAAGTTGAGGGGAGAGATGACCACCATCCTGTGATTCAGCTTCCTGATCAGCATGATCTTCGTTTTTACCATCAGCTCCTTCATCAGTATCAGCGGTTAGTGAAGGAACAGTATATGGATTTGCGATCCATTCTCTCATCCGATCTGAGATGCCGACGCCAGTTTCCAATGGATCATCCTTATACATTCGCACTGACATGCGTGGGCATTGGATGGGGTTTCCAGAGTGGGAGTAGTAAGCTTCAGCGAAAAATTTATCTAGCACAAGAGCAATCCAGCGTGGAAAGGGGATATGATCAGCGCGTACATTTGCACGAAGAAGTTGGACAAGCTGATCAAAGAAGAAAGCCCCATAATCAATTCGTTTGTTGAGAAGAAGGGAACAGATGACTTGTTGCTCATAAGTGCTCAGTTGATTACCACTGCGAGATTTGTGACCCACACATTTGCACAGAGCACTGGTGAAGAACTTCCATCCTGGAGTCATACATTGATGCAGAATGAGAGCTGATCGAGTACCAGCCTTTGAGTGATCATATCCCAGTTGATCAAAGAGGCGTCGACAATGTTCAATAGGTGGAAGCTCAGAGAAAGGTTCAAAGATTGGTAACCTGAGCGCAGCACTGAGGAGGTCAGCGGTAATAAAGATTGAGTGTCTTCCACGGCCAATAGTCCCATAGATGACGTTGTTTTCATCATTAATCGTTGCAGTGTAGTAGAACTCACATACTTGTTCGGGAAAGAACTCTGATGGAACGTCACTGATTGTGTATCGGAGTTGGCAGGAGACTAAGAAATTGACAAAATCATCAAGTCCTAGACCTCGATGAACATCTGGAATATCAGGGTTGAAAACTACGTTTGTGGCTTTGATGTATATGGGAAGAGGAGGAGATGTTGGACCTGGGACAACTCTTCTTGAAGTGGAGGAGAAGGTGAACAGTGATTCCGCCATTGAAGAAGTTTAGGATTCCAGGGTTTTTTTTTTTTAAGAGAGAGAGAAGATTGGAGGAAGGTAAAAAGGTTTGGGGAAGAGGTGAAAAGGTTTAAATAGGGAATGAAACGGTAAAAAAAGTAATGATTATCTTCATCGAAAATAACTGCGTATATTGACAGACTGTCAAATCAAAAAATAGTCGTTGGGTAAATAGAGCCGTTGTACCGAAGAGGAAACGACAATCAGTGACTGCGGAAGCACTGAGATTGTTGTCATGGAAAGTTACATGCTGAAAGATAGTTTGTCGTCAATTCAAGGTACAGCTTGCTTGTTTAGGGTTAGCAAGGTGATTGGTGCTTGTGATAGATACTAGTTTAATTATCTAACCATCGGCACAGAGTGTCGAGTCTTTATCAGTGAGTGGTATTTCTTACTGAATCATTAGACACTGAGTGAGAAGAAGGTGAAGAGAGGATTGTTGCGTGTGATAGACCTTGGTGTTTTGGTCTAACCATCGGCAAAGGCTGTTAGATTCTCATCAGAATATGTCTTGTCATGCTGAATCACTGAATCAGTGTAAGATTAGTAATAGTGGATAGTTGTGTGTGATAGAACTTGGTGTTTTGTCTAACCATCGGCAAAGATTTTTAGATTCTCATCAGTATGTGTTTTGTCACACCGAATCATAGAATCAGTGTAAGATTGGTAAGAGTGGATAGTTGTGTGTGATAGAACTTGGTGTTTTGTCTAACCATCGACAAAGAGTTTCAAGTTGTTATCAGTGTATGGTTTAATATAGTGAATCATTCAACTTTAGTTTAGAAGATTTGTATAAGAGAGAGAGATAAGAGATCATACAATGTACTCAACATGCTAAACATCATCAGCGCATCATCATCAGTACAAAAAAAAACATTAGTGTATAAGACAATAGCAAACATAAGTAAAATAATTTTTCAATCGAGAGTGATCATTCCAAGTTCGCCAATGATGTGAGCATTAGTTTGAGTATCCAGGGCCTTGGTGAAAATATCAGCTAGTTGATCGGAAGTCTTGACATGCTTTAAAACAACCTTGCCCTTCTCAACATTGTCTCTGATGAAGTGGTGTCTGATCTCTATATGCTTTGTCTTTGAGTGCTGAACCGGATTTTGTGTGATCTGAATGGCACTGGTGTTATCACAGAATATAGGAGTCTTTGTGAATTTAAGCCCATAGTCTAAAAGTTGATTTTGAATCCATATGATTTGAGCACAACATCTCCCAGCTGCAACACACTCAGCTTCTGCAGTGGAGATAGCCACTGGGGTTTGTTTCTTGCTGGACCAGCTGATTAGTCGATTTCCAAGGAAGTGACATCCACCTGATGTGCTCTTCTTGTCTAAGTTGCAACCTGCATAGTCGGAATCAGTGTATCGAAAGAGTTCAAGCACTGAGTCACGAGGGTACCACAGTGCCAAGTTCTGAGTGGCCTTTAAGTATCGAAAGATGCGTTTGACTGCAATGAGATGAGACTCCGTGGGATTAGCTTGGAATCTAGCACAGAGAATGGTTCCAAACATGATATCAGAGCGAATTGTAGTGAGGTAGAGAAGAGATCCAATCATTCCTCGATAAAGAGAGTGATTAACATCAGCGCCGGTGGGATCAGCGGAGTAGAAGCTGGTTTGCAGTCGCTGAGAGAATACTTAACTAGCATGTCAGCAATGTATTTACTTTGACAAATTGAAATACCTGATTTTTGTTGTTGAACCTCAAGACCTAAGAAGAAATTCATCTTCCCCATCATGCTCATTTCGAACCTTTGAGACATGATCTCAGCGAATTCTTTGCTCAGCTTCTCATTTGGAGATCCAAAGATGATGTCATCGACATAGATTTGAACAAGAATCATTTCTGAGCCTTTCTGTTTGATGAAGAGAGTATTGTCAATTGCTCCTCTTCTATAGCCATTTTCAAGAAGATATGATGTCAGTGTCTCATACCAGGCCCTGGAGCTTGCTTCAGTCCATATACAGCTTTATCTAGTCGGTACACATAGTCAGGGTGCTCTTTGTCTTCAAAGCATGGGGGCTATTTGAGAAATACTTCTTCTTGTAACTCACCATGAAGAAATGCTGTTTTGACATCCATTTGGTAGACAATGAAGTTCATGTATGAAGTGTATGCGAGAAACAGTCTGATTGCTTCAATGTGGGCAACTGGAGCAAAAGTCTCTCCGTAGTCGATGGATTCAATTTGAGTGAACCCTTGAGCAACAAGTCTTGCTTTGTTGCGAGTAATAATACCATCTTTATCAACCTTGTTGCGGTAGACCCAGCGTGTTCCGGTGATGGTCTTTCCTGATGGTCTAGGAACAAGTGTCCAAACCTTGTGTCGTTCGAACTCGTTCAGCTCATCTTGCATGGCCTTAATCCAGTCAGCATCTTGAAGGGCTGAGTGTATCTTGTCAGGTAAAATCATTGAAACGAAATTAACGTACATGCAAAAATTATTAGATACACGAGATCTGGTTCGGACACCATCATGAAGATTCCCAAGAATTTGATCAACAGGGTGATCTCGATGTCTAGATGCTGATTCCACTAGATTTGATGCTGAAGTGTTATTGCTGAAGGGAACATCAGTTGCAAGAGAGTCTTCATTCTCAAGAGTTTCATCAGCATCAGACAAAAGAGTTGTTGAGCTCACCACAATATCTTGATTCAAGGAATTTGGATCTGGAATGATAGGATCAGGAATAGTAGCTTCTTCTTCAGTGTGAGAAACTTCATCATATGGGCAAGAGAGATGCTCTTGAAAAATAGAGGAAGAATGAGCTACTTTTTCATCAGTGTATGATTCCTCATCAAACTTCACATGAATGGATTCTTCAATGCACTTCCTATTGACATGAAAAACACGAAAAGCTTTTGAAATAGATGAGTATCCAACAAAAATACCTTTGTCAGCCTTAGGATCAAATTTTGATCTTGGATCACGTTGATTAAGAATATAACAAATGCATCTAAACACATGAAAGAAGGATACATCCGGCTTTCGACCTTTCAGCATCTCATATGGTGTCTTCTTGTGAATCCTGTGAATTAGAGATCGATTCTGAGTAAAACATGTTGTATTAACAGCTTCATCCCAAAACGACATGGGAAGACCAACATGAATCATTAAGGTCCTTCCTGCCTCAATCAGTGTTCGATTTCTTCGTTCATCAACTCCATTTTGTTGAGGAGTGCGAGGAGCTGAAAAGTTTTGCCCAATGCCTTTATAATCACAAAATTCTTCAAGAGTTGAATTCCGAAACTCAGTGCCATGATCACTCCTTAGCTGCTTAACTTTGAGACCAGTCAGTGTCTCATTTTTACGAATCAGCAAGATAATTTCCTGTGCAACATGACTATTCTTCTTCAAGAAAACCACCCATGTAAATCGAGTAAACTCATCCACAACCACTAGAGTATACTTGTTTCCTCCTTGGGAACGAACAGGAATAGGTCCAAACAAGTCCATGTGTAGTAAATGAAGAGGAACAGATATGCTAGAACATGACTTGGGTTTGAAAGATGAGTTGGTTTGTTTTCCTTGTTCACACGCTGAGCACATCTTGTCTTTGACAAAGCTGAGTTTTGGGAGACCTCTAACTAGATCTTGATTAGATATTTTGGATAGATTCTTAAAGTTCAAATGAGAGAACCTTTTGTGCCAAATCCAGCTGAGATTGGTTTGAGACTTTGTAAAGAAACATTGCATCAGCGCCTTGTCACTTGAGAACATGTCAAGAACATATATATCATCTTTTCTACTTGCTGAAAGTACGATGTTCTTGTCAGTGTTAACAACTCTTTCTTCCTTCTTTGTAAAGTGAACTTCATAATCAGCATCACACAATTGGCTGATTGAGATAAGATTGTGTTTGAGACCCTTTACATATGAAACGTTCTGAAACACCACGTTATTGCACTTGATATTTCCATATCCTCTAGTGAACCCCTTTCCATTGTCTCTGTATGTCACTGCAGGACCAGTTTTCTTGACATAGTCTTCCAGGAGAGACTTGGATCATGTCATATGTCTTGAGCAACCACTATCTAAGTACCAAAGGTGCTCCTGACCCTGCAGTGCCGATACATTAAAGGAGAGTCAGTGTTGTGCTTCTTGGAGTTTTCAACTGCATCAGACATATCAACATCAAATGAACTGTTGCTGACTTTACATTCATTAGTGTCTTCTATCTTGACCATCAGACACTTAACTTCATCATCTGATGACTCCTCATCAGTCTTCCATTTTTCTTCTTCAGCGACAAGAACTTTATGTTCCAAGTTCTCTGCTTTCAGTTTCTCAACCAACTTGTTCTACTTCTGCTTCCAGTATTCATCCGAGCTTTGGGTTCTTTGCTTGAATTCTTTTGCAAAATGATCAGTGCTCCCACAGTTAAATCACTGAGCTTTCCCTTTCCTTTCAGTACCATGCTTTTTGTCAGCATCTGATCTTTTTGAAGATTTCCCACTCATCTTCTTCTGAAACTTTGAGAAATTTCGGCCTGATTTCTCAAAAGTCTTCACAATCAAGGCCGCACTAGCCACAAGCTTTTTGAGATCATCAGTGTCACTTTTAGAAGAATCAGTGTCTGAATGGTTTTCAGTGTCTGACTCTGACACTTGCTTTTTGTTTGAGAATAAAGCTACCGATGACTCACGCTGAGAATCCTTCATCAGCTCCTTTCTCTGAAGTTTGGATTCCTCATAGTATCGCAGGTTTCCATAGAGACTTTGTAAGTCCGTAGTGTTGATCTTCTAACTATTTTTCAGCACATCAACATGATTCTCCCAACCTGCACCCAGAGAATCCAAAAACTTATGCACTAGAATAGTTCGATGCTTCAACTGATCTAGTCTCCGCAGATCATTAACAAGAGTATTAAACCTGTTAAAGGTTTGAGTCAGGGTTTCACCTTTCTTTGAAAAAAAATGTTCATACCTTCTGTTTAAATCATTTATTTGAGTAGCCTTCACTTCTTC